ACTAAGCAGGTCAGCCATAGAGCACTGCTGACAATAACAGTCTGAAAGCTAAAAAGTGTTGCAATTTACTTGGTGAGGATACAAATATTTGACAAGAGAAACAAACATGATCTCAAAAACATTTTTATTTCATATATTCTCTTAAATAAAGTATTAATTTGGCACGAGAAAAATGTACAATATTACAAGCTGTGCCAACAATTCTGTTATTTACATTATTTTAACAAAGAAAGCAAACTGAGAAAGTATTTACAAATTTGTAACAAGAAGCAATTAGAAAAAATAACAATGAAGTTTATTGAAAACTAAAGCTGCTTACACCCCTTTGCATATAATGGAATAAACATTAACTGAATGCTCAATATAAGTCCCCACATATGAGTGACATGATGACGCAACTGAGAAAGCTGTCCAGATGTCTAATTAAACTGTCGACATGTCAAATAAAACTGGCCCCATGTCAAATGAAACTGTCCACATGTCAAATAAAACTGTCGACATGTCAAATAAAAGCAACAACCTCTAGTTGAGGTGCACTAAACATCATCTTTGATTTCTATGATACATTCAAATCATCTAAGGAATTTTCTAGTGTTAAACCTTGGTAGCATGTAGATCAGCGTAATAATTAAATTCACTAGTACCGGTATGTATTTGTATGGAATTCATATCTCACTCATGCATGCATTAGTTCTAGATGAGCAGAAGGACAATAAGAAAAATCAAAACTTTACACATATTTTATCACAAAAATACATCAAGATATATTATATTTCTACATGTAAAGTAGTGACATGTGGCCAATCATATACACTGCAGTCTATTGGCCAATAAACAGTACACAGAATCTGCTTGGTTAATATGTTGTATGACTAATTAAGAATTCCATATCAGACTAGAAAATTGTGGCAAGTGAAGGTAAGTAATACTTACCATCTTTGGACGGTTTTGTACATTTGACTATTACCATTTATTTTAATCTCACTTCATAAAATAATGGTGATGCAGTTCTATTAACCATACAGTTCCTGAGTACATTGTAACGCACCTCACAAAATACAAGTATTAAACCGTCCAGCAGCGTTTTGAGATTCTAGCTCTCTTTGATTATTAAAAAAAAGTTAATAAAATGATGTTAATATTTTTATTTTTAATATAATAATAACTGACTAATGACATAATTAAATGAGATGACATTTTTGCAATACTGGTAAATCACATGACCCAGGGATTTGTTTGTATCCTTGCAAAACAGTAATGATAAATCTAAAGACATCAAAACGTAAATTAACCGCGGTAATATATGTAATTTTTATATGTAATTTAATTATTCATACATAAAATTAAAAATCATGCATGAGCACATACCATATTAAAATATTTCTCACAGTAGATAAATCAAGCATCTCAAGTTAGATTAATAATGTATGTCAAGTTTAATTAAGAATGTGTGTCAATGCTGATTATTGAAATTGTAAATTAAAATGACTGTGGGATTGAATTACCCCCTCGCCAAGCCCTAGAAACCCAGTGAAAATGGAACAGTCTCATGAACTGATGATATACATACTTTTTTTTATCTATTTCCAAATGGTGAAGGTTTAATGTTCGGAGGAAATGATGAAAAAAATCTTCATTTCTATGAAAACAAGCCAAACAGGGTCTTCGTCAGTTAGAACAATCAAGCAGACTTCACCACAACAATGCTTAAACCCCGTCCTGAACATTTGTGCAAACAAAAAAATTTCAAACTTCTTCTCCACAAAATCTTTTTTTATTTTTAAAATCATTCTCAAAAAATTTTGATTAGATTTGAAATTTTTTTCATTTGTTTTTTTAATTTTTACAAAAATCTGTGACTCCTTGTTTATAACAAATACATGAATTTTTGTCATCGCCTTTCTCATCAATAGAGGTTTTAATCAAAGGCTATTGATGAATTGTTCATCTATTGCCCCAATTGTAGTTACTACTAGTATGTGATGCAAACCTGAACAAGGTCAAGGCACATGTCATTATCACATGTGATACAATCAGACACAATTTCATTTTCATGAGGGAAAGAAATTGAAAAAATGACCAATGATAGTGAATTTGTCTCTGCAGAAAGGCTGTGCAATCTTTATGCAAATTAAAACAAGATGGCAAAGAGGCTGCATGTGAAAACTGCCACAAATCCCAAATGCTGACGAAAAAATTCCCATTAAAGAATGGAGCAAAAAAGTTGCCTGTTTATAGACACTGATTGGTTAATAAGGTACAAATAATAATGCCTTTATAGATATAAATTGTTCAATTTTCTGTATGGAGATGTTGGGAATGTTCAATCTCATTATAAAATACTTAATTTAATTTAAACTCATCAGACTATATAGTCAAACTGAACCACTAATTTATCTTTAAGCAAGGAATATTGTTAGTACCGAAAACTGTCATAAGCATTTAATAAATTATTAACCTTATTAACCTAACCAGGTTCAAATGATTCAGTTAAAAACATTATCTGAACAAGAAACTTAGCATTAACAGAGAAGATGGCTTCAGAGAACTGGCATAAGGTCGTGTAAACATGCAATACATATATATTGATGGGATTATTGATTGGTTGATATGGAGGTTGGAACTGATAAACAGACCTGCACTTTAGTCATGTTTTCTCTGTACATAAAGCTAACTTGGAAACCAAATGAAAGATAACTAAGGACCCTGAACAAGATGGTGACATTGATTGATGTGTTTCTACTTGGTTTTCAGTCAAACTCCATTGTCAGCATGGCACGTGGTGAGTGAGTTCAGCGAAACATCTGTCAGAGAGTCTAAAAAAAGTATAGCTGACCAAAGTACAATAAGTGTGTCATCGCTGTTTTAGAATCAGATTTGATAAAGCGCTCACACTCACAGATACTGCTTTGGCTTGACTGCTACGTAGTTTTTATAGATGGCAATATTGATAATTAAGTGATAGTTTAATTTGTGCGTTGAAGATAATGTAAAAATCATTCCAGTATATAAGTTGTTCAATTAAAACAATAGATCATTCACAGGGGGAAAAAATAATTATTTGTTCAAAACATGATTTTTTTTTGTTTTTTGCTACAAAATATGGGATTTATATACCAGAGTGATGTATCATGGTCGCTGAAAGGTAATGAAAAGTTCGCGAAAAACTTTGTAGCACATTTTCACTGGATATCTTTAAAACAGTCAAAGTGACTTTGGCACAATGTTGGCCTCATGAACTGCTCTTAAACGACCATGTCAATTGACTGATATATGGATGTGCTCTAATACGAAATATTTTCTGCATTCACCTATTGTATTTTTTTTTTGACACTATCTTTACATTTACAAAGAATTATTTGTTATTTGTAAGTGAGAACCGTGATACAAATGTCATGTACATTAGACAAGTATACACAATATACCATGCCAGGCACTACACGACTTAAGCATCGATAAATATACGTATAAAATAAAACATCATCAACAACATTAGTACTGTGAGCATTTAATGCATTTCAAAACCATGCAGACACTGAATTTTCACTCTGGGACGCGATTAACTTTTGGAAGTTGGTTTGTCAGTGTTCTCATTACTACCTCCAGGACCTTCATCAGCTGGCACATCTCCGCCCTCAGACTTTCGATCATATTTAGTTTCTGGAGGCGGTGAATCATCTTTCGGTGGTGGCGAATCCTATTTGGGTGCTGGCGAATCTGCTTTAGGTGGTGGTGAATCCTTTTTGGGTGGCGGAGAATCCTCTTTGGGTGGCGGTGTATCCTCTTTGGGTGGCGGTGTATCCTTTTTGGGTGGCGGTGTATCCTCTTTGGGTGGCGGTGAATCATTTTTGGGTGGTGGCGAATCATCTTTGGGTGGCGGTGAATCCTCTTTGGGTGGTGGCGTTTCATCTCTGGGTTTTGGAGATGAAATCTTACTCCTTCCAGCATCCATGTCGTCAACCCTTTTCTTTAGACCTTCATGTAGAATTCTCAAATCGGCTATGTTCTTTCGAGTCTGAAGATGTAAATAAAAAAAGAATATTAAAGTTCTGTACATAACGGTTTTGGTACGCGCAAAAAAAATACAGTTGCACCTGTTACCATGGCGATAATTAAGACATAATGTATAGAAAGTTTTAACTAATTATATTTACATTCAGTAAACCTAGAACACAAGAAAGACCTGTATACAAAGTACAAGCTACAACAGACCATTTGCGAGTTTTTGGTGTGTACCACATTCATTCCATTCTGATTATATCACCAAATTGTAGTCGTTCAAAGCTGATTCGTCATGTGCACGATCGGAGCATCATTGCATGCAAATGAGCCAAATAAATGCAATTTTTTTCTGGAATTTGCAGTGTTTCAAATCAAACATTTACCAGATAACATTGGAAAACGATTTTAGTAATTACATCTACAAACGAGAAAGTTGATTTTATGATATAGTCGGATAAAAATACCATGTGATACAACACCCGCGAGTTGTCCAATTACAATATATACATTTTTGTACTGAAAATTAACATTATTAGGCAAAAGTACACTTTACACACATACAAGACGTAACAACTTTACAAATTCATCACAAAAACCATGCAGATACAAGACATTAGGAACCACTTTAATACATATACATGCATTATTCCTACTAGTAATTAATTTACCAGTAATTCATTATTACTATATGTGGACTAGTACGTCACATTTACTAGTATCAACTAGTACGTCACATTTACTAGTGTGTGACATTCATCAATAATCTGTAATTACTGTGTTTACTAGTAAGTGTTAGTAGTTTGTTATTGCTATGTGTCAACTAGTACATGACATATTTTTTATATAAAAAAAAATTATTGTATTTTTTTTACAGAAGTATGATAGTTATTGATACTATTAAATATTTTTGTTATATAGCAGTGAGTCAAAGTTTACATTACAAGCACTTTTATTATAGTTTAACAAGTCCACATTCAATTCTTTTAAGAACTATTCAACCAGTTTTTGAATGTATAATCTATTATAATTATGTCTACTATTAAATCCAGTCTCTCTCAGACCAAAGCACCTTTATATTAGTCACAGAGGAACCCAACAAATTTTGGGATAATTAGAATTAGAGATGAAAGTACGTTGCCAGTGAGCTTATAATCATTGCTTGGTTGCTTAATAGTTGTTATACCATATTGGTGCAAAGTTTTTATGCGTTTTTTTGTTTTGTTTACTTTGTGTTAATTTTGGACAAAATAGACACAATTTTGTTGCCTCCGTTTGGGTGAGTTTACAAAATTTACATAGTTGGGAAAGACTTTCTATTGTCCTCCACTTTAAAACCCTAACCCAAACCCTAAACCTCCAGCCCGACCCCCCCCCCCCCCGGCGCCCCAATTCAATTGTATACGCGTAATTGTATATAGATAACTACAGGTGTCTTTAAGAGAGGCATATACAATTAACTTGAGGGGTGATGGAAGATTGGGGTAGGTAGGGTTAGAGTAAAAATTTAAGGATGCAGGTTACAATGAAAGTCTTTCCTATAGTTGCAATGATTCCCAACTACGGAGAGTTAATGACATTAATTACTAAGATATATAGCGGTCATGGTAAGTAAACTTACAGAACGTCAAATTAGTCACTATTAACTCATTTATATGGACACACTTACAAAAAAGGACGCATGCATTAACATTAACACATGGTACAGGGTCTACTATACATTGATTTGACATGAACTCTTACTGTTTCCATGGCCACAGATTCCATTTCCATAGCAACTGCAGTTTGATATTAGTTGTGACTCCATCTTTGCAAAGCAGCAATTACAGCATGAGATAATGGGATGTTCCACTAAGGAGATCTTGTAGGGAGGGAGGGGTAGTATAGGGAGGGGTACAATACCACAAAAAGGCTATATCTATTTTAAGCTTTTACCTGAGTGAATGAAAGTCTCAAAAACACATGTCATTTTTACAATAAATTACATTATTAATAAAATATTCCTCTCCTCTAGTAAGATCGAAATATACCGTTGACCTGCATAGAATTTACATTGAGTGAAAAAGCACGACTCAATATCGTATTGTTTTTAATGCTATTGCTTTTTACAGTGAATTTCATGAAGGCTTGACTGTTTCTTCATACATAAAATATAAATGTTTTAAAAACTTCAAATGACAGTTGGAAACAACTTGAACAATCACAATGCCTTGGCAAATGCGTACCATCTGCACATATAGTAAAAAATTGGCCAAAGATTGAAGAAAGCCCACAAATGACTTATTGGTAATGCGCATTATTAAATGACAGCCAAAGAAATTTGAAAATCTTTGAATTTGAATCAAGTATGAGGGTTTTCCAGGGTAAATGTTTTATAAATATTTGATATATTTCCATAAAAAAACATTCATGCCTTCCTGAAAATCACTGTACAATACTCAGAACTTGAGATAAAAAAAAAAACATTTTTTGGTATATTGAATCTTGATATTAGTGACTTGGTTATATTATTCATAGAGATTGTAAAAAGCAGTGGTCGCATGCTTTCGATTGAATTTAAATTTTGTGTAATTGTATCTGACCTACATTCAAATAAATTGCTACCGTATGTATAGTATGGGACCCACATTGAATGTACATGGCCAGTCACAATGTCCACTGCACTCAAATCAAATCACTGAGAAAACCAAACCTTTTCTATTGATGCATCAAGACAAAATTGAAAGGTGCATTCCATTTTTTTTTAAATTCAGTATATCACAGAATTAGTTGTTTCAGAATCTCAAAAACTTTGCAAATTACATTCAATGTGAAGTAGGAGTACCATCAAATAATGCAAGTTAGGCAACCCAGTCCAGCTGGGCAGAGTTAGACAGATCACCATGGTAGTCAGCTGTTTGGCACAAATACACGACTAGTAATAGAGTGTGGTATACTGGAGAAGCCAGAATTATTCACAGAAACTGTGGTTGTTTACACATTTTCAGTTCAATGTAGTCATGTAATCTTTATACTGAAAAAGTATTCACTGTGCATACACTTGCAAAATGCAACAAAGGTGAACAGTCTATTCGATATCAATACTTTGCAAAAATTATTCTAAATCAGATTATTTTTTGCTGTCTGCTTTCTTTGAAGACTGTGTATCATCTTTCTTTTGATCATCATTGTCATCATTACTATCCCCATCATCATCATTACTGTCATCGTCGTCATCATCATCATCATCATCATTTTCATCTGCATCATCATCATCATCATCATCGTTGTCCTTTTCAACATCCCCTTTCGCATCATCATTTTCATTGTCATCGTTTTTATCCTTTTTAACCTTCCCTTTCTCATCTTCATTTTTCTTTTCCTCCTCATCTTGACTTGCTGTAGTCTCACTTTCATCATTCTCGACTATATCTTCAAATTCTTTCATCTGATCACGAAGCTGCTTCAAGGATGTTTCAATTCCTGCAATGTCAGCATTACGCTGTACACACAAAGGGGAAATGTTTATTTGCATATTACATGCAGAACATATGTTGATGAAAGAGGATGGAAGTATCCATGGCAACTGCCAAATCAGGACAGCCTGATAAATGGAATGCACTTCACTTCTGTAAGTAATAGCCGGATTATGAATGAATACTCATGATGGTTTAGATTGCAGACAGTGAGCAATCTGTGGTCAGTGGCAAGGTAGTTGATGATTTTCCAAAGTAGAAATGGGTCACTCCAACACATATTGTGGACAAGATGCAACAGGATCACTCCAAGATGCATTTGTGGTCAAGATGCAGTGTGGTCATTCCAAGATGTATTTGTGGTCAAGATGCAGTGTGGTCACTCCAAGACGTATTTGTGGTCAAGACGCAGTGTGGTCACTCCAAGATACAACATGGTCACTCCAAGATGCAGTGTGGTCACTCCAAGATGCAGTGTGGTCACTCCAAAATACAACATAGTCACTCCAAGATATAACATGGTCACTCCAAGATGCAGTGTAGTCATTCCATGACATAATCGTGGTCAAGATGCAAATGTCACTCCAAGATGCAGTGTGGTAATTCAAAGACATATTCATGGTCAAGATGAAACATAGTCACTCAAAGTTGCAGTGTGGTCATTTCAAGAAGCATTGTTCAAGATAGTGTGTGGTCACTCAAAGACCCTTGAATGGTCAAGAAGCTGTGTGGTCATTCCATGGTGCAGTGCGATGGTCACTCAAAGATAAATTAAAAAACTACGATGTGCAATAGTAATATGTCTTCACATACATGCACCAAGTACAGAAAAATACTCCATATTTTGAAAATACACATGCTGAGACTCAATAACTTGATAATTATTGAATAGATATTTACATTCTGCTGCAGATCTAACGATCCAGTTATAAATATCAGATTATTTATAATATCACATATTTACATTTTTTGTCAGAAATTTCTATGGAATGTATAAAATTTTGCATTTAAAAAAAAAAATTATTGCTTGTCATTTTTATCGGCATTTTTATCATCATTTTGCTTTTTATTGCCGGATTTGCCACCGGGTACCCCATCCACTTTCTCCTGTAGTTCCTCAAACAATGTCTGCAAATCTTCAATTTCTTCTTTGCGCTGTTCATTGGAGGAAAGAAATAACATGCTATATTGAGGCAACATGTTTGTTACATAACAAAAGGTGATGCCATCAATTGGTCAAATTAAAACGCATGTTTTAAAGTTGTGTTGTCCTCCATTATTTTATTGAAAGCAATTGACATGAAGAGTCATATATTGACAGTTTATAATGAATAACTATGAATGAGAGAGATTTCCATAGTTTTAATTGTGATTTAGATTTCAGAATCTTAGGGAGTTGTCAGGGCAACTGTGGTGATTGTAGAAATTTACTATTTGATGACTGAAGGGTGATACAAATTTGCATATGTTCCCCAAAAAAGATCGATGCTGCATACTAAATTATTTGCATCTTGTACAGACTTTGGGATTAAATTCTAAAACTCGGAGATGATGCATGAGCAAAATTTGAGGTTTTATAGCTGTGCCTTGTGAATAACCAGGCAGAAATGATCTTGAAGTTATGTGGCGAAACTAACTCACAAATTAATTCACATGCAAAGCCCTTTCAACGTATCTCATGAGACAATACAACTCTAATTCAACAGTTCATTGATTCCTAGACACACAGCTTGAGTATACTGCCACACATTTTGAATTTGCCAAGAATTTATAAATATTTTTTTTTCAATATTCCAGTCTATGATAAAAATATTTTGCATCTACACTGACATTAAATTTAATTCTGTGAAAAGTGGCAAAAGTTGTGAAGGAAAAAGTTAATACATCTTAGTTTTGAGAGCACGCACACAACAAATACATTTTAACTTGTAGAAAACTCCTACCACTAGATGTAAAAAATAAAAGCTGAAAAGAAAGGGTTATCACAATATCTACAGGTGATTCAACTATTTCTATCCATGAATTAACATTAAAACAAAACAATTTAAAATAAATGTAAATCACATCTTCAAGTATGGAAACACACATGCATTTGCTCTCATCATGCCACACTTTCAATACTAAGCAAATCAAAAAAAAAGACACTGTTACACACCATGCTATGCACAAATTAAGTATTCTACCTCAAAAAATAGAATAAGATAGACCAAGGAAATCGGACAGAACACAGTTAAGTTATAGCAACAGAGGAGCGGAAAATGACGAATATCACAGAAATGGGATATGCGATATGGTACCAAGAGGGAAATATGATTTGAAACAAGCATGTTACAGTGCACAGTCCCCCCATTGTGTACTTAAATGTTAAAGACTATAAGCATATAGAATTCTGGTTATTATAAAGTGACTACCGGTAATAATAGTAGTTTTAGTGTGTGACATAGAATATAACAGCAGAGTTAAAAACTTGCATCTCATAGTATTTTTCACAGGTTATACATGTGACAATAAATGATATCTCATTCATAGCAAAAAAACACATATGAACAGCATAGCACAAATTATAAGTGTGAAGGTTTGTATTCCTAATTATTGTGACTCATAACATGACCAATTCACAGAGTTTATTTGTGTTCAATCTCAAACTATACACATTTAAGGATAATTTAACTCCTAGTCTTGTGCATAGTAAACATTTTTCACATTTTCATAACTTTCAGAATTGCACATATGCAAAAGGTATATTTGAGGTTACAATACTTGAGTGAGCTGATAGGGGGGATTGAGTCAGCCATCTTGAATAGCTTTACAAATGTGCATCAACCTCCTAATGGTTACCCCTTTCAGCAAATTTGAAGAAAATCAAACATGTGCCAAAGGTCTGGTTCTGAACATGTCAAAATACCTGAGTTTAGTTTTGACTGTAAAACAGTCAGATGATAATATTATTGTATGTGTGTATATGTGCCATACACCATCTAAATCCTTCCAAAGTAAATCAGTCAACACATGCACAAGATCTGCTTCTGGACATGTCAAAATACCTGATTTCAGTGTAATTTCACAACAAAAATGGCCACCAATTGGCCATCTGTGACCAACTCATGAAATGACTGCACGTACATATGTATAAGATAAGGCATTCAGTATGTGTGAGGTTTGGAGAGAATTGGTTTTGGAATGTCCAGAGAGACTTTGGACGCACATATGCATAAACAGACACTAAACCATAAGATACCCTATTCATACTTAGTCTGAACAGGGACACAAAAAAAAAACGATGTTGGTAGCATGAGGCTGAAAGATTTGAGCAGATGAGAAAATTGTAGTTATAGAGGCTTAGAAAAAGAAATCGTAAAGATAGGGTGAGGGAAAGAGAAATCGTGAAGATAGGGGTGGGGGAAATAAAAATCACAAAGATAGGTGGTATATAGGAGGACATTATCAAGTAAGTTTCCACAATCATCACAAATATCCTGCATTGATACGTAGACTTGTATTTCATGCACATGTCAGATATACAACAACATGCCAAGCAAAAAAAGGGCAAAACGCTACCTGTTTCGTTTCATTCTGTATTTTCACATTAAGATGCGATCTTACAGTCTGTACACTTTCATTTGTCTTATCACTCTCCTCTTTCAACTGAAAAGTGAACAGTATAAAATTATTAGTAGCCGAACATAAAACAAATTATATGAGCCATCTGAAAACATTCATGATAGAATAAAGATGTAGCCCACAGGGGTCATTCAATTCAAACAAACAAAAAGTATAAATGATGCAGTGCCGTTGAAATCGTTTTAGTAATATTATTTGAACGGTGAGAGCAAACTTGAAATGGGTGGTCAAAAAGATGTTTATAAACAAGCAGATTCTCTGTTGAGATAGCTCCGATGTTAGCAATGCACATTTCAATTAAAGAACTGAAGATATCATTAGAAAATGAACAATATGTAAAGTATCAAACCAAAAATGACAAAAATATTCATCAAAATTAGAAACTGAAGATATCATCACAAATCTATATGTATAATATCAAAGCAATCAGACTTGCGGTTTTCACCACGAAATCGAAAATATCACTTTTTACCAAAAATGACTTACAAAATTTCAGGATCATTCTTGTAAACTGTTTCAACACTTGTTATATAGTTATGCTTTTCGTTGTGAAGCAAACACGCTAATCATTAATGAACTACTTTTTAATTGTTCACAGCTAAATGTATACCAATCTACCTTTTCTCGCTTAATGGTATTAAAGGGAGAGATCAAATTTTGTAAATTCCAGTTGTGTACTTACATCATCTACCCTTTGGTTGATCTGTGAGGAAAAAACAAATAATGCATTGTTAATGGTACAGCATTTTAACCTTTTCACTACCAGAATTTCTCGCCCAAATTTGTCTGCACTTAATTTCTTGTATTCTAAAATATTTCTGGAAATTAACCCTAACTTTGGAGCCAACAGACACAATTTGGGTCAATTTTCATTTTTTTCTCAAAAGATTTGACTATTTTTGTCCCAATCTTCTGAAGGAAAGTGCAGACCATGAACAGGATTATTTTTGCATTTGTGATGAAAAGAGGAAACTGGTGGTGTAGGGGTTAACCAGGGTTTAACTGGTTCAATAGAGATAAACATACTTCAAACTAAACTACCAAATTCCTGTAACCTAAGTAACATTAAAATAACTGTTTATACATATATACAGTGAGTACCGAATACTGTTTTTTCTTGACTTTGAACTTGCATGATATGAACATCAACAATTCATGCAACACTATTTTGCAAAGGTGTTGATGACCTATGGAGCTGTATCACTTAAAAACACCAAGCTCACCTTCTTAATATCTTCCTCCATTAGTTCCATTCTTTCCGCTGTCTCTTCATCTAGTTTTCCTTTCTTTCCTTGGGAAAGCTTTTCCTTCTGCGAGACAGGTATAGGCGCTGCTGCGGTTCCACCACCATTGGTGATTTGTGTTTCTAGTTTGGCAATTTCCGCTCTCAGTTGCTTGTGTTTTGTGTCTAAATCATGTCTCACCATCTGTACATCACGCGTTCTTGTAATTAAATGAAAAAATTAAGATGAAATGATTGGACTTTAAACATAAAGTCTCTGTTGTCTTTTTGGGAAGAACAATGTTCGTCAACCACTCTAGAAATCTATGCATTAAAGTGGGGGAGTCGTCACATGCGCATGCGTCAGATGGCCATAGCGTGTCATTGTTTACAAACAAGCGTCTACCCGTGAGCCGTTTTTAGCGTGTGTTGTTATTGGCGCTTGGGACTCAATTGCCACGTGTGCGCAAGTGACGACCCTCCCGCTTTAAGAGAGATGTTTCATACCATAGTCACATATCATGGCTAACACATTTTTGACACAAGAGAATTTGTTGAATCTTTGCAAATTTATTCTTTATGATTGGTTGTTGAGGTGTCTAAATTAGTTTGTACAAACAGAATGGCTGTCTATTAAAGTGGGGTACAGGTTGTATAATGCTACTATGGAAATCCTCACATTTTTATTCGCACTCAGCAAAAATGCTTTTCAAAGTTGTTTTTTATGTCCATCCATAAAACTGACAGTGTACATACATTACATGTTTATGGTGAACAATTCAACCTTTGACCTTTAAACAACAAAGTCAACTTCTGTTATCTTTCGCAAAAATAAATCTGCATAATTTTTTCTAATTTTTAAAAAACAAAAAATTTGATCAAGACCTGTAGCAAATTGAAAATCATGTTCATTTTGTCCATTATGACCATTTTGTCCAAAATCAACAAAGAAGTTATTAAAAAAATACTGTAGATTACTTTATTTTTGCTTGGAATTTATTTTTGCTGAAGGGATGATTCCCTGAAAATAAAATCCAGCGAATATACTTTTTTTTCCTATATTTCACATTAAACTCATCAAAAATCAGTGAAAATAAATTCCACACAAAAACACCAAAAAAGCCTTTTCAGCGAAAATTAATTCCAGCGAAAATAAAGTATTCCACAGTACATCAAAATGAAACATCAAAATTTCAATGGGAAAAATTACAGTGATCAAGTTAATATCCAATATTGTTATGGACATGCAGCCAAATGCCATTGTCAATATAACAAACATGTAATCTACCATACATTGTACTTGGATTACCACATTTTTTGACACATGTAAATCATTGCACACTTTATTATTCTGAAACCTTTACGCATACCTTTCTTTGTTTTCTTGTTCCACCAGCCCCTTCATATCTTCTTGTACTTTCTCGTTTGTTCTGTTCATATCAGAAATCTGTAAACACCAAAAACAATGTTATTTAATGATGACAAATGTTTCAAAATCCAGAAATGTTTTTCTTAACTGATCTCTGCTTTGATTTTAAATTCATAGTTGTGTTTACTTCCGCATCCTGGGTACTGAATCATAACTTATCAATTTTTAAAACAAAAATAGCAGCCATAATGGATCAGATCAGAAAGGAAATCGTTCTAGTTTCAACAAAATTGGTCAATGCATATCCATAGGAATGTAGCAAACAAATACATGTACAGCGAAGCTATATTCCCGTTTTAAAAACAGGACTATTTTTTTTAAATTAACTGTATAAAAATTTAGTGAGAACAGAGTTTTTTTTTGTAATTTTGGTGCCAGGCAACAGTTCTGGGCATTAACTGTTATCTCTCCTCAGATTTTTTTTTATCTGCAAATTACAAGTGTGAGTACTGACATTATATTACATTTTGTCGCAGAAACAACATTCTATGTTTGGGACTACATGACAGGGCTGTATCCACGGCCGTTCAAACGACTGCTCTTATTCAATGTCCATATGCTATATAAAGTACATTTACTAGCAGCCAGTTGGCTGAGATAGCTCCACTCAATGCACATTTCAACAAGTAGGGGGGGGGGGGTGTCCTTGAAACTTGAGTTCCAAGTGGCGTATACAACAGATTGTTTATTTACATCAAAACACGTGTTCCGTGTAGTGGTAATATGGCCAAAATAAAAACAGTCGTTATTTGGCCATCTTTGATCTGATTATGAAACACACTGATATGTATGATGTATGTGCCAAATACAAATGAAAATGGTACATAAATTGTGGAAATATAGTAGTAAGGCCAAAGACCAATCGGCCATCCTTGACCAGATTTTGAAACAAATTGTCATGGACATGCATCCTAACATGTATAAAGTACATGTATGTGCCAAATTTGAATGAAAACTTGCGGTTTTTAAGAAGAAGTCGAAAATATCATTTTTTACCAAAGATGACAAAAATATTCATGAAAATTAGAGAATTAAAGATATCATCACGAAATGAACAAACCTGAGAGAGGTCCACATGTAGTACCTAGATATGTAATATCAAAGCAATTGGACTTGCGGTTTTTATAAGAAGTCGGAAATATCTCTTTTTACCAAAAATGACAAAAATATTTATCAAAATTAGAGAATTAAAGATATCATCACAAAATGAACAAATCTGAGAGAGATCCACCCAAGGTACCGGTACCTACATACCAAGTATCAAAGCATTTGGGCTAGCGGTTTTCAAGAAGAAGTCGAAAATAGCATTTTTGACCAAAAATATTCGCTATAAATAAGACAATTGAACATATCCACAGGAAATGAAGAAATTTGAGAGAGAACCACACAAGGTACCTTCCTAGAAAGTTTCACAGCTATACAGTTTGTGGTTTTTAAGAAAAAGTCGAAAATGTAAAGTTGACGACGGACGCCGGATGCCGACGGACAATCAGTAATACTATAAGCTCCGCTTGACTTCGTCGACAGCTGAGCTAAAAATAAAACCATTGTTATAATGAACACTTACTTCAGGTCCAACATCATCCATTTTTTCTTTCAATTCTTTCAATATCTTATCGGTGCTATCTCTCCAATCGTTAATATCTTCAAGACTTTCTGACTGTGTGTCTGTTTGTCTCTTTACCCCCTGTGCATAATTACAAAATAACAATAATTATTATACATTTCTGAAAACTGAATTGACGAAGAAATGCATCTATGTAATAAAAATACTGTGATTGAAATATTAAATTTCATGGAAAACATTCGAGGGGTTCTCCACTTTCCACCCATGACAATTTGTTTCCTGCTCAAATCTTAAGCAACATGGTCATCTGCTAAAAATTGACCTAAAACATTTTTATGTTTCCTTTGTTGATTTTGAACCAAATGGACAAAATGTGGCATTGTTTACAAGTCTTGATCAAAATGATCAAAACAATCACTGGTGAAGCCAAAAACTTTCAGGAAACAGTATTTTTGGCTACTTGCTGGGACTCTCTTGAACAGTGTAATAAAACTATCCCTACATGTGCAACATATATAAATGTGGTTCCTCAGGATTAGCTCAATGTTACATTTCTGCTGTTTTCTCAACTTCGACTGTTTTTATCGGCTCCTCGTCCGGAATTCCACAGCAGCTCGTGCATAGTCCACAGAAATACATTGTACAGTGGTGCTTGTCCAAGCAACATAGAACGTTCTATGACGCAGCTCCGACCCCAAGATTAAGTGTTGTTACACAATATTAGATTCAGTGCCTTGGAATTATTGTAGGTGTATGTGTTAATTTTAAAGTGGAAAAAAACATGAAATATATGTGTTACCCTCTCATCTTTAAGAGCTTCCATGGTCTGTAATGGACACGCATGAAAAAACAAGAAACATGTACAGAAATGAAAAGATGAACATGCAAAGAAATGTGACATGAGTGAATTCAATGTATGACTGTATTTATGGTTTGATGTTTCTACCAATAGCAGAGGCCAGAAATATATTGCATTGAAAGCTCCAACAATTCTAATTTTCATCAACAAAGTGTTTATCAAGCAACAGTTGCAGTTATTGTATACTTGATTATTGAAATATGACCATAGACACACCTCGGCCATTTACATAAGCACATGGGCTACTAATAGAGTAAATACATGTACCATAAATATTACTGTAAAATACTTTTTCTTGAAATTTATTTTCGCTTACGAAATGATTCAGTGAAAATAAAATCCAGCGAATATACCTTTTACCCTATATTTTACATTCAACTTGCCAGAAAACAGTGGAAACAGATTGCATACAAAACACTCCAAAAGTTTTTTCAGCGAAAATTTATCCCAGCTAAAATGAAGCATTTCACAGTAGTAGTGCAAATACTTACATGACCAGGGTGTGTCTATGATCAAACTAAATTATATTTAAATGATCCAGCATTATATACGCACTTCTATGGAAGATTTGCTTCTAACAAATATGGGTATTATTAAAAGTATGAAGCATTTTTAGCGGTCTTGGTCTTGGTACACATACATGGTGATTTCAGAACAGTGAATTTCAACATTGGTAGAAAATGTTCTATATTTTCAACTATATTTTCAATGCTAATTTTGAACCAAATTTCCCATTCAAAACCTTTATGTGTTGACAAGTTGAATCAATCATGTGATAGTGAAATGATATAATTGGAGTTCAGCATGGATTTGTTGCCGAGGATCTGCCGGTTTTATACATATAACAGAAAAATTAATAACAAAAGTCAAAAGTCTCAAATACTATAGTGGTATTTGTGGAGCGAGGAAGAAGGAAAACCAAATTATAAATAACTTTTAATATTGGTATACATAAGTTGTTAAAAAAAAAAAGAAAGCATAACAAAATAATTATGATTTTATTTATTAAAATTACATGTAAATAGCAACTTAGTATTACAGATGTTAAATGTATTGCAGTTACACAAAAAGAAACGCAAGTTTCAAAGTACGCAAAAACATATACATTTCATGACATACTAGTAATACAAGGTGCTGTCAGGCTCAAATTAAAATGACAGACTAGATGAACAGCAGTACCCATTATCGAAGATTCAAGTCATAGTTACAATAGACATTTTTGTTGAGTAAGTTAAGTCTTGAATATATCCACCAAATTGGACCGCAAACCCACACATTCTTTTTATCTATATAGATATACCTGGCGTGTAACTGCAATGCATTGTGGGTATATTTAAAGGTTTAACCCTGTTTTGCTACGCATTATTACTTTTATAATTACACCCATTTGCTAAGATATTAAAAAGACAATATTGACAATATAAACTGTTTCATTTGGGATAATAATAGGAATAACATGTGCATGCGCACTTCAAATTACTGATATGAGTAAGTAAATTAGACGGCTATGGTCGTCACAATGTGTCAGTTGTGAGATGGGTCCCATTGCACTTATATAACATCTGTAAAATACAGATTTTATGTACATTGTTTGTTGACACACTGTTTAAACACCAATTGCAAATTGACCACTGCCCTTTACTGCTATGATTGCCCCTAAAGATTTTTTTTTTATTTTATGACATAATTATTCATTCATATCAAGATAGAATATAAAGCAAATTTATTTTAAAATACACAAAGTAATCAATATTGTCTTTTTAATTAATTTAATAGTAATTTAATTAATATCTAAAGCTACAAGATTGAAATGAACAATGTATACCCGTAATGCCTGTATGACATAAGCGATGAAATGTACATAGAATATATCAATCATTCACCGATGATGCGTACCAGATGTAAAAGATGAACGGCAAACAAGATGACGGAGAAAGAGAAAAAAACACACACAGAAATGAAACACATAGAACAATATACATGTAGGTGATATATACACAGTGTAATTCATGTCTCGTTACAATGTTAAGTATGTGTGCGAGTGCGTACATGTATCTGTGAAATAAATGAGTGACAATTTAAATGATGTAATTGAATTCAAAGTATGTATTCATTTATCTTAAAAACGATTTACAGCGCAATTTTATAACAGCTCGAAAATTAATCATACCAGCTGACAGATAAAGGTCAGATATGTGTAACTGACCATAATATTAAGTGGTTAATTATGATTACACATTTCCGTTCCTAGCTGTTCAACATAAATCTAGAATTTTTCAATAGATATTCTAGTTGGACATCGGGTGAAGAGCATTAATCATACCAGCTGACAGATAAAGGTCAGATATGTGTAACTGACCATAATATTAAGTGGTTAATTATGATTACACATTTCCGTTCCTAGCTGTTCAACATAAATCTAGAATTTTTCAATAGATATTCTAGTTGGACATCGGGTGAAGAGCATCAACTATCTATTTGATTTCCAGATTAGGATTTAATTACTTGGCCTTTAAACGATTATGGTTTTTACATCGTGAATGATGGAAACAGATTCTATAAAACTGATATACTGTAAAATACTTTATTTTAGCTGGAAATAATTTTCGCTGAAAAGTCTTTTTAGGTGTTTTGCATGGAATTAATTTTCACTGATTTTTGACAAGTGGAATGTAAAATATAGGAAAAAAGGTATATTCGCTGGATTTTATTTTCACTGAATCTTTCCTTCAGCAAAAATAGCAAAAATTAATTCCAAGCAAAAATAAAGTATTTTATAGTACATTGCGCATCAACATATATGCTGTGCAACTGCCGTATAAATCACGTTCTCTATCAACATAACTATACATAATTACACAGTAAAGAAGACAAGTTTTATTCACTCTGGTTCATTGTTAATCGGCCTAAAAATGAACTTGACATAGTGATATTGTGATTCACATCAATGTATTTCTCACTCACCTCCGCTACTTTCATATCTAATAACTCTTCTTGTTTTTGTACTTTGGTATTAAGCGCCATCACCCTGGCATCCAAATCTGCTAAACCACGAAGTCCACTCTGGTTCTGGTCATCTAACAGAGACTTCATTTTGTCTTGTGCCTGACAACATGCAAGAAGGGACAGCAGATTCAGTAATGACTGAATTCCTCAGTTTCAATGCACAAAATATATACCATATATACTCGTCTGATTTAGTGCCCAGGGTACTCAAAAATAGCTTAGGTGATCACCCTCCCCTTTTTAAAATTATCCAAATGACAATTTTTGCTCACCATGTGCTAGATTAGAAAGAATATTAAGTCTTTTAGGGGAAAATAAAATGCAAAATGAGTTGCCTTGTCATTGATTACCACAACACTTTCACAATGAAAAAAACAGGAACTCCCAATACTACCGTAAGCAATTTTCCGACATGATATTTTTATGTACAATTTTACCTGCAACAACGCTTTCTGACCTGACAGGTCAAGTCTGTTATTAACCAATCAAAATGATGTGTTGTACTGACGCAATGTTCTGAGCATTTCTGAATATCGATGATGGCATTTTTCACCATGCAATGCGAAACTGAATTGTTGATGTTAAAATACGATCTAAAAAAGCTAAAAAATCAAAAAGCCATTCACTCACCGAATACGACACCTCATTCACCTGTTCATTTATCCCACCAATTGCTTGCTGTAAAGTTGCTATGGCGACACCAAGTTTTTCTTGTACATCTTCTATTTTGTCTTCTATGTGTCTGTCTTGTAATTGTCTTTAAGACAAACAAATATTGATCAATTTAGATTAAATTTAAAAAAACACGATAAAACATTGGTTCTGAGGAAATGAAAGTCTTGTTCATTTTGGCACTATCCACAATATAAGTGAAGCTTGTGTAATAAAATCATCTCTGCCTCTCAAATAAACAGAAATAAAAGAGAATGAAGAAAAAACAAAATTGACACCATTACCTTGATTTGATTTCTGCTTTCATTACTTGTTCAAGTTGCTTTTTCGTCTCAGATTGTTGTTTTTCTAACATTTCAATAGCGTCATTTACCTTAATGAGTCCGTCCGTCTGTTTGTGGCTTGTCAACTGTGGAGAAAAAATGAGCGAAACCAAACTAAATAGATTGTCAGCAAATTAAATTATGCATATGACAGAATCTTTTTTTTTTACTAAAGTCAACTTTTACAAAATAAATATTTTTTTCAAATAATTTGATCATTACCTGTAGCCATTATGAAATTAAGTCCATTTGGTCCAAAATACATAAAAATACGCAAAATATTGCACCAAAATGAAATACAAAATGTTGGTGTTCAAAGATTAACACATTGCCTACTGAAAGCCTCGACAGCCTCTATTTGAATAGTAAATAACAGTGTCGGCAGATGATGCAATACTTGAGAAATTTTCATCAATTCATTGTCCAGTCAAATTGCTCATTATTACTGCATCACAGGCAAAATTGTACAGCAGAAGTTTTCTTCCAAGCCAGAGATTGAGCTGATATTTTACTATCTGAAGTAATTGAGGCAAGATGTTTCTGAATTATAAAATATTTTGTTTTATTGGTGAAACAATGGCTTCATAAAAGCTAGGGGCTTCAAAGCAGCATGGTAGATTTTGATGGTATAGGACGTACCAATACATGATATGAAACACTGGCAATAAAACAAATACCAGTGTCTCATTATCGTTTACTCATTTCCACAGTATTTAGTCGTAATTAGTTTCAGTTGCAAAATCTTTTGAATTTATCTGTTGTTTTACTTATCTGATCCAATCAAATGTATGTATTATTACCTTGTGACCTTCCCGTACATTAAGGACTTCATCTTCTGTTAATTTTTGCAACGCAGACCATCGCTTCTCATTTTCTTCCCTCATAGCCTGCTCGTGGGTGATTCTGGCAGACTGCTCAGCGTGTAGCATCTGAATATGAAAGTTATGTCAAACAATAATTTTCAGATATATCAGTAAATTTTTCAGCTAAAAGGGAATAATGACAACTGTCTAAACATGTTACCAACTGAATTCATTCAGACAATAGATACGCCACTCCCATTCTAACCAGCTTGTGCAATGTGTAATTTATGTATGTGCACCACAGCAGTATCAGAACTAGTTTGGGAAAATACAATTCTAGCTAACAATTTGGATAGATATGATACCTTTTCTACATTGGCAAATTTTTGTTGCGCTTCTTCTCGAAGCTTTATTTCTTTCTGTAAAATTTTCTTGCTGACTTCTTCCGCGATTTCCGCAATTTTTCCTTGCATTTTAACTCGTTCGTTGTCTGTCGCATGTTCTCTTTCTCGCTGGATTTGATCCAGTGCGTGCATGGCCTCATCTCGTTTCCGTGCCTGTTCGTGCACCTGGGCTTGCATGTCATTCATCCTGTTGAAAGAAGGAATATATGGTCACGGTTTAGATGGACCAACTGCTTTTCAGAGATGGTATAGCACCCTCAAGAGTGGTATGTGGAAAGTTTACTTTACCTACAGGGGGCGCTCTACAGATAAGACCATTATAGTTAGGTAGGGCTCATAGGAATACAATTTTTGTTTTATTCAATTCAGGACACATTTCAGCAATTGTAGATGAAATGCAAGACGTGGCTCTGAATTCGCCCATTGATGATGATCAACTTTCTTACCTCATATGGATTTGATTCTCGTTTTGCCTCCGCTCAGCTTCTTCTGATGTCATTCTATTCCGAACATCTAGTAAAGCATCTCGAACTTCTCCTAACCTAGAATACAGATGAACCAGACAGATATATGTAAATACTACCTACACTTGTTTATATACAACACACGTAAATAAAATTGTAAATAAAAATGTCCTTTTGTGTGACCCTTTCCTTTTAATTATTATCACTGACGTAATTTTAATCTTTGATGTGCGATATTAAATACTCAATTCGCAAAATAATGACCAGCCCATGAAATTAGACAAGTTTAATATTTTTGCTGGGTATCCAAACTGACATCAATAACATGAGAAATTACAAAATCAAATCTACGTCACACAGCTACCGAAACAAAGTAAACATGCTTTAATAAAAGCAGAGGATCTAGGATGCTTGTAAGTTGACCAATCATGAATCTTGTCTCATCTGTCATTGAAACACTCTTGTTTTGATGGCGTAGAAGTGAGGAGAAAGTTGTACTGCAGTGTTTTACCACCAAGGACACCAGGAATCAGTTATTTTTTACACACATTTGTATTTCTACTGAGTGGGCATACAAGCTTAAAAGTCACCAAGTCAGTGAATATTGCAGTTTTGTGTGTTTTTGATATGTATAATGTGTTGCACCCTACTGAAAGTACGGTGTACTGTCAGTACATCATTTCCATCATGGACTAGTACAATACATGAACAATCTTATTTTTGTTGTTACAACTAATCTATCAGTAGTAGTGAAAGGTAATCATGCACTATTTCAGTGTATTTCAATTGAATATGCAGTTTTGCTAAGAACAAAAAAGAAACACTTGAACTCATTCAACGAACAATATTTTCAACTGAAAAATAATTATAAGTCAACTCGGTCACTTTCTAAAAAAATACAACCAACAAAATTTTCCCCAAATCTTAGAAGAAACTTTGATCAATACCTGCAGCCAATGAAAAATTGGTTCCAAATTTGTTCCAAAATAAACAAAGAAATTTTAGAAAAATACAGAAAAATGTGCAAAATGAACCAATTTTGGCGGGAAAGATGGTAGCATCCAAAGTGTTAAGCATTTTATCTGACATGTAACTATTGTTGTTCATTACGCTTTAATACACTGGTAGCTCAAGACATTGTCTGCTGACAAATATTTTCCCATTCATTTTAGCTATCTGCGGAGCATTAAAGTGACATTCTATTTCAGTATTTGAGACATAAACGAAGAAATATGTACATTTTCACAGACAAACACAAGTCATTGCAATGTAAGAGGCAGAGGTTGTTGCCGTCATGTGTGCATACGATTACATGCATTGTACATTACCCGGTACATGAAATCTGAACACATTCAAATGTACATGATTATGTACCTTAATAGTTTGGCATTGCTTAAAACATTCACTGAAATACTAGTATGCAGAATGATAAAATACGAAAAAAATAGCACAGATTTGAATCTATCACTAGACTATCACTATATACCAAGACGTTTATCAAAAATTTACCAAAACTATAAGCCAATCGACTACAGGGATATTAGTTACACTATATTATACAGCATTGTCACATTACGCTACCTGGCATCAATTTGTGTTCGTATCATGTTAGTAGATTGCTCAGTAGTTGACTGATTCTCGTGGTGTTTGCGTTGATAGTCCAGCTACATCAGAATTAGTGCGAACAGGAAGTAAGCATGCATGCATGGGAGAAAGACGATGTGATGATTGTATGTACATGCATGACAGTGGTTGCATGCAGCTGGTTGTCGGGATCACTTTCTAGTAGATCTCGCACAAGGCACTACAATCTTTTGAAAAGATTTCACTTTAAAGTATGTACTAAATTGTCAAGTTCAGGCACCATCCACAAAATAGATCCATTTATAATTTGCTTTTTTCCTATTATGGTCAATTTTTTTTAAAAAAGTTTGAAGTAATTTTGTCTGTTTCATTCAAAATTATGACTGAATTCTGTGAAAATTACAGAAACTGTGAACAAAATTTACCCAAATTTGTGTGGAAAAGAAATTGGCGCTCAAGGGATTAATGCATGACCATGATGAAATTTAAAATATTACCAGAATGTCTGAACGAACGACAGGATTGAGATACATCTAGAAAGTGAACACAGATCACAATTTGCTGACAGATGGAAGCTCTACTGAACACAACATATGTCAGCACAGTTTCTATGGTTAACTACAATGTATGGCATCCATAGGACAACACATTCTATAGGTTTCTATGGATTCCACACTATACATTCTATAGGAATCTATGGTGCCCACGTAACTATTCTATAGTTATCCATGGATTCCATAAGAATACATGCTATAGTATTCTATGACATCCATGTGACAACATATTCTATAGTTATCCATGGATTCCATAAGAATACATGCTATAGTATTCTATGACATCCATGTGACAACATATTCTATAGTTATCCATGGATTCCATAAGAATACATGCTGTAGTATTCTATGACATCCATGTGACAACATATTCTATAGTTATCCATGGATTCCATAAGAATACATGCTATAGTATTCTATGACATCCATGTGACAACATATTCTATAGTTATCTATGTATCCATGCGACAAAGCATTCCATAGTTATGTATTTCCCACCAATACCTTACCTACTACTCATAAGAAGTCGGAGTTGCGAGACTTCCTGCTCAGTGAAGTTGCGATCATCAACATGTTTTCTAGCCTCTACAATCTGTTGTTTATAAAAACAGTTACCACGGACACCAACATGAAAGCGAGAACACAAACATATAAAATACAAACATTACATGATAAACGACCAGAAAAACACAAAACATAAAATTATGTGCACTGTGCCAGTCATTGTTTTTTTTTTTGACCGATAAAATGTTGTAGTGTTTTCTACGAATATCAAACTAAGAGAGTTGATACAGTTTTACAGAAATGTCGACCATAAGATTTTTATTTCAATTCAGTATTTTTTATCAAATACACATACTGTTAAAGTTGTCCTCTTAAAAAAATTATTGGTGCTATTATGTAAAATATTTGATGGACTGCAGGAAAAAAAATTGTCAGGATTTTGATGTGTTTTGAATTATTATTAATACGACCCTGAGTAATTAGGAACAAAAGTGTTTTTTTGATGAAATCTACTAGTATATGCAAAGAAAATTCAAACACACAAATGGGAATCCAAAATGATCACCAGCATTATTATGTATTTCCCACAATTCATGCAAATTCAATTATAACATTTCACATGATTCAAATAAAAAGTTGTGATTCGCTATCAAGATGTCTTTTTTTGCAGCATCCTCTATGCGCGAAGTTACATCCAATCACAGTCCAGTCATTTGCGTAATGGTGACATCTATTTGTACTTGCTGCAATTAGCCATTTTGAGTTTAAATGTGTTTTTTTTTATATTAAATTAACCGTAAACCACATTGATGGGTTAGCCTAAAACAATAGAAGGATATGATGTTATATATATATATATTATAATTAAAACCTGGTCAATATTAGCTGGTTAAGATATTGCGCATTGTGCCCTTCCTTAATGGCCTCTGTGCGGTCAGCCGGTACATTTATTAAATTAATCCATTATGGTCGACAAAACTGTAGCAAGTCAAATGAAGGTGAAATAATAATGTGCGGTAAATGTTTCTAAACCATATTCAGTGATTTTCCACACTCAGAAAAAAGCAAACATACATATGACTGATGCACAGTGCTTCTCACCTACACACCCCTATTTCCCAGTGGTATGGTCAAATTTTTATCATTTTTTTTTTTTTTATTTCTATCTCAACTCAACACTTGGAAATAGGAGGGCGAGAAAATTAAGAATTAACAATTAGGAAGCGAGGTTGAGAGCATGATAGTACCAGAACACACGATTCAGATTCTTACCCGCTAAATATTTCCAACAATAGATTGCATTGCACAGAAATTAAACCAGGAGGTAAGAGTTGAGTTAAAAATTGCATACAATAGCGCCCTCACAGTCCACAATGTGAACTGAATAGCGCCCCCATAGTCCATGTTGCTTTGTTGCTTGTTATTTTTGGCGAATCAAATCATCATAAACTGCTTAAAGCTGAATGCTAGTAACACAATATTTTTCTAAAACAAATTTACATGACTGTCTCCATGACTATTATTTTTGCATGAATTTTTATTTTCAACATTGCACCAAAATATCACCACCTCAATCATTTTTATGTTGGTATACAAAAGACATACGTGTAAAATAAAAGTGACGCAAAACTTACAGCCTGCCTATTGTCTTCTTCAAGCCTTTTGGAGCGCTCTTTCAACTCGTGCATAATAGAATTAAACTCCATTTGTTGTGTATCTACTTTGCTTTTTAAAGTTCGTACTTCGTCAACCATCGTGGTCGTAGCACGTTCTAGTTGGTCGCGCATTCGGTTGGCTTCGTCTAAATCATTCCGAAGATCGGCAATTCTGTAATATAAAAGCGATTACTGAACTCAATACAATTCAAAATAGACTTCAGTTTGTTGTTTCAATTTTTTTTTCCAATATAGACTAGACCGGAAAAGTAAAAGTAAAAAAAAAATATTTTGACCTGAAAACTATTCTTTATAAAGCTTCATCTAATCAGAGGATATCAAACAATTTTGTTCAGAAATGAATAATAATACTGAATGATGGTGATTCATGTCTTTTTATTTAATATGCAAATTGTGACCCTTTAACTCATAAGTTATGCACATTTGATGACCCCATAACTTATTAGTTATAGAAATTCCATTGATCAAAATATACTTATAATGGCAATGAGTAGTAATACTCAGTCAATACATCAAACATTACAAAATCCATACACATAATAATTGGCCAAAAGTGCCATTCATTTACTTAATGTGTAGGATTTACGGCAAAGGTTACAATATATTTAAAGATTACACTATGTAATGTATTTTATTGTGTGTAATTTAATGAATCGCATCAAAGGAGCATTTACTTCCACAATGTATTGAAAGCACAGTTTTATTGCACAATAACATGTTTGAGTCAATGAACTGTGAATCAACAGCTGATTCTCACGATGCAGTGGCTGTGAGTTTGCATGCCGCGAATGTGAATTACCAATCAGCTGATTTTTGTCGTGCCCTGAATGTGAATTAACAATCAGCTGATTCTTGTCGTGCCCTGAATGTGAATTAACAGTCAGCTGATTCTTGTCGTGCCCTGAATGTGAATTAACAATCAGCTGATTCTTGTCATGCCCTGAATGTGAATTAACAATCAGCTGATTCTTGTCGTGCCCTGAATGTGAATTAACAGTCAGCTGATTCTTGTCGTGCCCTGAATGTGAATTAACAGTCAGCTGATTCTTGTCATGCCCTGAATGTGATTTTACAATCAGTTGATTCTTATTGTGGGGAATGTGGATTAACAATCAAATTATTTTTGTTGTGCCCAAAATGTGAATTTACAATCTGCTGATTTTTGTCGTGCCCAGAATGTGGATTAACAATCAGCTAATTCTTGTTGTGCCCTGAATGTGAATTAACAATCAGCTGATTCTTATTGTGCCCTGAATGTGAATTAACAATAAAATTATTTTTGTTGTGCCCAAAATGTGAATTTACAATCTGCTGATTTTTGTCGTGCTCAGAATGTGGATTAACAATCAGCTAATTCCTGTTGTGCCCTGAATGTGAATTAACAATCAGCTGATTCTTATTGTGCCCTGAATGTGAATTAACAATCAAATTATTTTTGTTGTGCCCAAAATGTGAATTTACAATCTGCTGATTTTTGTCGTGCTCAGAATGTGGATTAACAATCAGCTAATTCCTGTTGTGCCCTGAATGTGGATTAACAATCAAGCTGATTCTTGTCATGCCCTGAATGTGAATTAACAATCAGCTGATTCTTATTGTGCCCTGAATGTGAATTTACAATCAGCTGATTTTTGTCATGCCCAAAATGTGAACTAGCAAATAAAACAACTTACTTTGCATACTGTTGGTCTCTCCTAGAGAGTATTTCTTGTTGACTGCCTAATACTGCTTGCTCTACTTGTTTCGTGTGATTAACTAACGCTCCTACGGCCGCTCTCTCATCCTGCACTTTCTCCTCTGCTCGTTTAAGTCTTGCTCCCAACTGACCAATGAGGTCATTGCTGGAACGTAAATTTTCGGCAAGGTGTTGTCGCGCTTGTCGTTCAGCGGCTAAAGTTTCTTCTGTTTTTCGGTGGGATTGTTTTAATTCTCCTGTTGATAGAAACAAATATCAGTGATATTGATACAAACATTTCCAAAGATTCATCAAAGTTGTACTCTTAAATCATTCCAAAAGTTGTATTTGGGTGAATATTGGATTGTCTATGTAAATTGCGGGAATTATGTATTTAATGTGCAAATTTTTAATGATTTTGAACATTTTCAAACAATTTGTTTGCCCATTCGATTGTTTGTGCAAAATTTTATTTACTAACGTTTTTAAATAGTGTTCTGACGTGCATGGATTCAACTCCATTCTGAAATTATTGCATTCGCAGAAATTCAGAACACTGACAAATCCAGAGAGTGCTAGTATTTATTTAACACTCACATTCAGAAAAAACAAAAACAACTATAAAAAAAAAGACTTTTACCGGTGATAAAATACAAGAAATAACTACACACTTCATGAAAGTGGTGAGAAATAACTGAACAAAGCCTTGCAAGTTGCTGTAAAGTAGAATTGGCAACAGTGGATAACAGTTAGATCGCACACACACACCATCACAACTCTCCCAAAAATATTACCTTGAAAGACACTATAAAAATACACTACCGGTAAATAACGTTAATCAGTAATAATTTTGTGCCAATCATACAGTACTAATTAAAAATTACTAATTAACAAATACCTTGTAATCTAACAACTTCTTCTAAAAGAGCTCTATTTGATCGTTCTGAAATTGACAACCTCTGCTCCAATTGATTCATTCTAGTGCCTTCGCTGTAATCCTGTATACTGGAAAGCTGCGATTTGCGACCACTGAACGGCACCAGCTGATTGTCAAAGCCGGGTGGTGCCGGACTAGATGAACCAATATTAGGTAGTGGAGCAGCTAGTCGATTTGAAAATGGCCTGAAACATAAGTATAACAAAAAAAAATGAATTGTAAATCAAAAAAATAAAATGGTTGGAATATATTCACCTGCTTGTTAGTTGATATATGCAAACATCAACAATTATTGTTTTTATTTAACCTTTTCACCACCAGTTCCCTCTTTTCATCACAAATTCACAAAATAGTCCTGTTTATATATAGTCTGCACGTTCCTTCAGAAGATTGGGACAAAAAACGCCAAACTGTTTGAGTAAAAACTGAAAATTGTGTCTGTTGGCTCCAAAATTAGGGTTCATTTCCAGAAATATTGGAGAATATAAGAAAAAAGTGAAGATAAATTTGGGCGAGAATGTCTGGTGGTGAAAAGGTTAACACAAATATCATATCAGGCAATACATATGAATTAATGTTGATGAGGCTACAGTTCTCACATATCGCTTAGAAACAGACTGTCAAGTTGGAGACATGAATGCCTCTTGTTTCCATAGAAACTGAGGCTCTAGTTGTATCATATAGGTTATTGACACATGTTGAAAAAATCATTCACGTTTCAGAAATGGGTTATTGTTCTGCAAGTCATGTACATGTAGAGATAGAGCAAAGTGTGAATCTGTTCATATTCACGTACAGTAAACTGCTTTTCTTACATGACACATTTTTGTGAACGCATCAAGATTGTAGTGAGAAATAATGATACTGTGTGATGAAACTCTGTGTTGTTGAAATCTAAATCTATAATACACATGTGAACAGTATTTCATTTTTAAATGTTCTACAATCCCATGATGCAATGGACATATTGTTTCCAACTGAAATATTTGCAAATTATACTATGGTTAGTTACAAATACTTTTTAGAATAATTATTAACCATACTTGAATTGTGATTCAATTACCAAAAAATAAAAATTACCTACAGGTATATTTCTAAACACACAAATTTGTTTGCTTCGGCATCATTAAACATTGGCTTTCAAAATTGAAGAAGATGTTTCCCACACTAGTACATGTATATATATATATATTATATTTTGTATCTATCAATACTACAATAATATCTGTATACTGGCATGGTTTTTTGTTTTTATTTCAAGAGTAGGAGAAATAGTATCAGAGGCATGGCAGAAAACATAAACTTCTCAATGAATTGACAATGTATATATTAACCACAGGCTGATTTAATATATGCCAGACATTCAGTCAAAATAGGCATATCATTAATAGACAAAAGATGACTTTTTTCTTTACATTATTCACTTTATAAGCGATTCAGTCCACATGAATTAAAACGTGTATATACATATTCACTGAGTCGCTTTTAATACAGCAGTCATATCAGTCACCTTGCAGGCAATTAACACACCTCCAGTTTGTTTATACATCACCATGGTTACCAAGGCTGTGTAATATTCAGCAACATGTCATATTGTTAAATTAGGAAAAAGAAAAAAATTGATGTCAAAGTCAAGTTTATTTGAATCCACAACGTCATTTTGTTTTTAACAATGCCGACATTATTTCTTATTTGAGTGTATTTGTAATTGCCTCGTTAAAATACATGTGTAGTTCATTTCTCAATTGCCTCATCACTATTCAAAGTTTTTCTGAGACTGACACCTTGAACTGAAGACGCAGTGATGGAAATTGATCATCTCCCTTTTTCATCTCTTTATACTAATTTCCTGTCGAGAACGGTACATTCTATTGTTAGAACAAAATAAAATGGTAATTTTTAGTGAAATTCACATACTCAAACAAGAACAGCTAGGACGGAAAAAGGGGTATTTAAAGAAAAAAACACTGTGTGTGCTTACATATATGTTCGGGATTCAATGTACCTTTTTATAGAAAGCAAGATTTTTTGCTAAGTCAAAGTAACTAGTTTATAAATATCTTTATATTTGACCAGGACAACAGTACAAAATACAAGGTGCACATGTGTACATAGATGGTCTTATTTTCTGGGGAGGGGTGTTCAAGGTAATAGGAGGGGCTGCTTAAATTTATCATAAAATGAAATAATTTTTATACATTACATCGAGGTGCATAATTTGTAATTAATAGTGAGTATGATTACATTTTTGTGCTCATAATAAAATTCTTTGAGAGAAAAACAAATGGAATAGTCGTGAGCCGATAAGACCACCAACAGTAGCAAAATATATGGTGTCAACTTTACTGTATGTGTACAATTACACAGAACAGTATTCGTGTCAGAGATGTAACCCGGCAACACAGGGTTGCAGAATTCTGGAAACAAATATTTTAACAATACATGTAATACTGTGAAACATTTTTAGCTAGCACGTTATTTTAGATAATTTAGTAAATCTGTAATTTAGCTAATTCAAGTGTATTGTCACAATGAGATTGTTGACACTTTAAAATTAAAAATTCTGTTAATTTATGAAATGAGTCAAATTCGTTAAAATTCGTTATTTTAACATGTTTTACAGTACGTACACCAATTGAATAAAAAAAAAATAGCATCTATAAAAGTAAGCTTATGATATGCTTTTAATCTACCTGCCTAAGATTTTGAGAGAAGTCAGTTACAGTTGTTCACAAGTACCGGGGTACTATTAGAAAAGATATTCAGACTTCCTTGATTTCTACACTATGGTTTTATTTTATGATAACGACGATGTTTGAACATTGAATTTAACATTAGTTTCTATGGGGAAAATATTGTTCGGTGACATATCGTGAAAATATAGTTTGTTGTTGTTATAAGATGGATAATTCTGATTCTCACGAATTGTTGGGAGATTCTGGGCAACACTATTTATTTTCCATGACTGGATTTATATAGAAATTGTTCCAAAAAAGCCTGTTTTTGGCATTATTTCATGATTTTCTCAAAAACCATGATTTGTACTGGGTAAAAACACTCAAAAGGCTATAGCATATATATGAATCTATAATTAAGTAGCACTTTTAATTAAAACAAAATATTGTGATAAAATTTGAATTCCTATTCGAGGGTATTTCAATATGTTAATAATAAATTAAAATGCCTGTGAATGACCCTAAATGCCAAACCATGCCAAATTTTGTTAAAAACTATACATAATTTGCATTTCGCATTCAACAGGCATGATATTATATTGGTTACTTTCGTATAGACATCTTGAAAAGTAGAAAAAATCAATACGTGGTCGTCTGCTAGTCAATGTGACCTTTTCACCACCAGTTCTCTCTTTTCATCACACATTCACAAAATTCCCTTTTATAGTCTGCACTTTTCTTCAGAAGATTGAGACAAAAACAGCCAATTTGTTAGAGTAAAAAGTGAAAATTGACTGAAATTTGAAAATTAGGGTTCATATTCAGAAATATTGAAAAATATAAGAAAAAAGTGCAGAAAAATTTGGGCTAGAGAGTCTGGTGGTGAAAACGTTACAAACCATGACAGATTGTGAATTGAAATAAGACTGGCACTCAAACGTGCGGCAACAAGACTAACTTGACAAAACATCATCAGAGTTTAGTGAAATATATTTAAATCAGTATTATTATCAGTAATATTAACTAAATGGACAATTATAAATTATTTCATTTGAGTAAATACGGTAATATATTCCAAAATGTTTGGCGAAAACAAGCATAACAGAACTACATAGTTAGCAATGGGTAACAAAAGTTAACAATGGGTAACAGAAGTTAACAATGGGTAACCAATGGTGGTGATAGACGAGTTCTACATTCTCTGTGAACTAGTTGTTACTGGTATGGAATAATGAACTAAGGCAGACACCTGTTGGGTTTAACCATGTTACGGCAATATTGTATTTGTTCGATTCAACATCCATCTCCAATAAAACATATGAAAAAAGATTACAGTTGTTGTTTTGTAGGCCTATCAACCAAACACTGCTGTATATGTATGTCATATGCTATATTCTCGGGAGCAGACATCCGGGTATTTTCACCACCTGGCAACCATCACAGTGAAAAGAAAGGCTGAAAACTCTCGAAAAAAAAACGGTACTTTGGGATGGTTGTTGAGACTCCCCTGAATAGTGTAACAAGATTACCCCTGCGTATCCACCACATATAAATTTGTTTGCTCAGGGTTACTACAAAGTTCAGTTTGTGCCGATTCTCAACTGTAGCTATTTTCACCGGCTCTTAAACCTGTGCGCCACAGCAGTTCATGCAGACCACATAGAAATACAAAAAAATGTACATGGTACAGTGGTGTGCATCTTAGCAACGTAGAACATTCTGTGACGTAGCTTCGCACCCAAGAATAGACTCTTTTGACAAGGGCTGAGATATTTCAGACGTAAGAAATATATTTATTACCGTGATCACCTCTGCAACCCTTTCCCTATAAATTACAGCAAGTTTAGAATACCTGTCATGTAGTAATATATAAGGACTATGATGTGTCATAATATGTACTGGGATATAGTGTAACATGGCTAACATCAAAAATCAGCTGATGAAAGTTAGAAGACAACGATGACATTTAATTTTAGTGCAAGCATGGACCTGTATCCCAATATGCATAATCCTGATACAAATGATTGAAATTGGTTTGGTTCATTTCTGAGAAACAATTCTAGACGCTTGAATTATCAGAATTTAGCAAATTTGAGGACCAAAATGACCACCAGTCAGCCATATTTGATCAAATGAAATGAAAAATCAACATATCATACATATTTTCAGGTTAAGTTTGAACATAATCAGTCAAGGCATGTCAGAGATATGGTTCTGGAACAACATTTTATAACAAAATGGCAACCAGTTAGCCAATTTGAATATGATTTGAAAAACAAAATGACATGCATCAAGGTCTCAATATGTCCAATGTATGTACTAAGTTTGAACAAAATTTAACTATACACAACCAACATCTAGTTTTTGAATGGCATACATGCTTTATTTTTAATCACAAAAATATGGTCGCTATTCGACCATCTTGAATCCAATCATGAAACGAATGAACATGCATACGTCTCCCAAGAAGTATGATGCATCTCCAAGATGAAGGTGGGAATGCAAGAAGG